CAGCTCCTTTGCCCTTCAGGACTGCCTCCCAATAATTAAAAATATTTAAATATTTTGTTACAGACTTGGAATTTAAGCTATGATGATACTGATGATATATTTGGAAATAAAAGTTCATTGCATCTGTTCTCACTGCAGGAGCAGAGACCACATCCTGGTTAAATGCCATATGACTAATTTTTACAAGTGACTACTTAATGGCAATTTCTAAATACTTTTCCATGGTGGTGTGGAGTGCAATAGCCAGTTCTGTTTCTCAGGATCCACTTTATTCTCGTAGAGATCCCTCAATAGGTGCAACTTGTCATGTTGCCACTTGAAAGCAATCCTTTCCAGCCAGACCGGGAGATCAGCTGTACATCTGCCCAAATGGTCTCTCTTCTGACAAATTCCTTTTTCTTTAGTAGTCCTCTCCCAGGTCACTGAGCTTTATGATTAGATGGGGTATAGGTCATGCAGTTTGAGGCACATCTTTGAAGTTCATTGTATTTGCTAATGCATGTTAATGTGGGATCCACAGGCATAGTCAGTATATGGTCCCTTTTCACTTTACATCTCTTCCCAGATTGTTAAAAGTGGGAGAGGAGACAAAGCCTATTGCTGTGCGATAGTGATGCTGTAGAAGCTAATTTGTAGTACTAATAAGTAGCTGAGGTTGGGACTTGGAGCTTTCCCTAGGTGATTTTGCTTCTCTGTGTGGGGCAGCTCTAAGTGATTCGCTCGGGTTATAAAGTTGTTAATACAATTTTCTTCTATATCATATTGTCCCTATATATACAGTACAGAATGTAGAACCGTATCTACTAATACTCAAGTTCAAAGGGATAAAGGAGCAACTAATCATAAATACATGTACTGTTATTGAAACAGTTCAGAATTATGCCCCTGGTACAGTTGAAATGGAATAAAATCTTGAAAATACTGTTAGGTAAGCACTGTCTGCTAGAAATTAGAAGGCAAATCAAGTATCAGTTTTCAAAATCTGAAGATTAACATTTGGTTTTAAATATATTTTCTCAGGAAAGACTGAATCTTCTAAAGATTCTCATCAGTGTATGTAAACTAAGATTGTGAAATTTATGTAGTGTGTTTTCTGAGGAAAACCAAAGTCAGTCTTGAAAGCATGCAGAGATTTGGCTAAATATGTTTAGATCACAGGGATTGGTTGATTCTGTTAAGAGTTCAGGGAGGAAATGCTATTTCAGTGTTGGAGCTTGCAGAGGTTGCATTTTCTGGGGGTGAGGGTGTGGGTTTTGGTTTTCCTCTTATCAAGAAGGAGGAAATTCACTGAGAAAGATCCTAAATTGTTATCTAATCATTTGACTTTAAGCGAGGGTTTACAGAAAGCTTCCCACCCAAAATCACAAGGTTTGTAGCAATAGATACAGATTTGGCATTATTTCTGGACCATTAGGATCTGACTTTGATGTGTATTACTGTATACTTACTTTTCCACTATTTTATGTTTTAAATTGAATTCAGAAAAGGTTATTATTAGTCACAAATAACACCGGCAAACTTAGGGGGAAGTTTCCCAGTGAACTAAGCCAACCTAATGGCTCATTACAGCTGAAAAGTGATCCTGCTCCCCTTCCTTCCGTGGTGATGTAACTCTTCTTCTCTTGTAGCATCCGTTCTGTTTTGCTGGCCTTGCCTCACTTGCCATCCGCCACTGATAAAATCTGTGATGGTACTAGAGGTGCAGACAGTCTTTTTCAAGTAGCTGTTGTTTGTCCTGCCAAAATCAAGCCTTTACATCAGTACATAGGCTTACTGGGCAGGGAATGGTAGTGCGACCTGGGAAGTACATCAGACTGAAATGACTTTATTATTTTTTTAAAAAAAATTTCTTGCACACCTGCCAAAAAAAAAGCATGGTTAAAAAGATAGAAAAATGATACTTCAAAGACTGTCATTGAAAGAAAAAAAAGTAATTGTGCATTACAGGTGACTTTTAGAGTTGGGTTGAGTTCTGTCTCTAATTTTTTTCGCTGTCTTGTCTGACATTTTTGTGTCCTGTCCATAGCATCTAGGAATATTTTGTTTCTCATCTTTAACTCTGTCTCGTAATACTGTGGGGTTTTTCTTGCATACTGTGGAGTGTGTGCATGCTTTTAAACATATCTCTACCCTCTTATTGGATTGGGAAAGCAAATTCAGGATGAAGGGAATTTGTGATCTGTTGAGCGTTCTGAAATCTCTGTGTGAAGTTAATGAGTAGGGGTGCAATGGGACCATGGCGAAGGGCTAGCTGGGAGCTGTGGGGAGGTTCTGGTCCAATACAGTAGCAGCTATAACACATCTTTGCTGGGTAGTTTTCGTGGGTTTGTAGGCAACAATTAGCAGGTCTTTTTGGTTATGATTTATTTTGCTACGCTGAGGGAGTTAGGTGTCAGTTAGGAGTTCTCTTCAATAGAAGCATTGAGGTATTTGATTGTTGCTGGAAGTAGCACAGTTATTTCTGAGGATTGATGTATAAGAGTCAGGAATGCTCATTTTTACTATTGTTCAGGTTTTTTATGTGTTTGTGCTGGTCTGCCAACTAAAATAAATGTCCATGTGTGTTTACTGATTGTTGTAAAGTATTTTCTACACAGTGAACAAGAAAAAGGACAATAAGTTGGTTAGTTTGAGAGGCCTCATAACATGCTCAACAGTGTATAGTTCTCCTCTGACTTCCATATGAATTTGCCACTTCAAGTCTTCACATGTAGATTTTGGGAAGTGATATTTATCCTGGGGGCAGTGCCTGAGGTTGGCACAGTGACAGAAAAACAATGACCAGCAAGACAACTGCTGCGTCAAAGTAACCCAAGAATTGCTGGTGGTTGCGGAGGAGCCACAGGTAGAATGATGGCAGCTCAGTGGCAGCAAGAGCAATTACCTTCACTCTGGGAATGATATTTTGGGAAGGGCTTGAAGGGTATTCAGGAAGGACTTAAAGGTGACCTCCCCATCCAGCAAGGGGTGATCTTTGCTTATCTTCTATATCCTAAAATGTGGTAGCATTTCCGTCTTTACTAGAACCGTGGACAGCCTGACGTGGCCACCAGCTGAAGGATGCTGGTGGGAAATGTGGATGCTTGTCTGTCAGTTGCACGAGATTTCAGTACCCCAAATCGTAGATGCTTCCTGGCAGCCAGGAGGGAGATACGTGTGAGTTTGTTTAGCTGAGCGTGCATAGTAACTAATGGTGATCTCAGGCAGCCACCCACTACTGGAAGAGGTGAGACCACGAGACGCCTTTCTTTTTGTTCTGTCTCTTTCTTTCTTTCCCCCCATTCTCTGTCCTCACATGGTAATAATAAATTCCTTAAAGATCCAATGGATCTCAGCTATTGTGGACATAGTAAGGGCCAGAGTAGTTTCTAACCGAATGATCACTAGGAAAATCTCTGTGAAGGTAAGCTGTGAAAAAGCCAGACCAGGCTTTCCTCTGTCTCCTAGAGCACATGCCAGGACAGCTAAAGCAGATTCTTCTGTGTTGTGAGAAAAACCCATTCGCCATAGACATGTTGAAAACAACCACTGTGAGATCTCCTCATTCCTTCTTGAGATGTTGCACAACTTGAGACATTGGTTTTACCATATTGGGCAAAGCCGTGGTTTGGTTTGTTTGGAGCCTCTGAGATGCAGGCTTTGGGTGGACTGGTCACTGTTTTGGCATCCACAGCAGTGGAATGCATGTGTGGGCAATCAGATTGCTCAGAGGAAGAGGAGAATTTAGTGACATCCTTATCCACATTCCAGGGCTTTCCTTTCATCTCCTCATCTGCGCCTCTCTGCAGCAAGAAAGAGAGGGTGATTAATGTTCCACCACTTGTAGGGACAAAGCTTGAGGGGCTTCTGCTCCTTGCATCCCTTGTTTGCTGTCAGTTCCTCCATTTGGCTATGTGAGGTACCTGCCTGGTCACAGTGAAGCAGGTGATACAGCTAAGGAACGTTTCAGCAGTTTGGTGCTCAGGCTAAGGACCCGGGCTTTTTCTCTGTGGTATTCAAGAAGGTGCCTTCATATTATGTGGCCTGTCCATGCTAGTGGAATGTAAATGACAAAAGACAAATGCATTAGATTGTCAGTGGTCACTGAGATCTCAGTGGCAGTATGTTGATTTAGATCACCTAAAGAAAGGATCCAGGATTTTTTTTTTTTTTCTGCTTCTTGGGGAAAGGAGATGTTGACTCAAACTTGGAAAATTCCCTCGGTTGACTGCAATAAGTCCAATCAGATAATAGGATTCATGTCAGAGCTGTTAAATGTTTTATCATACCATTTGATTTAAAAGTGATTGCTTGGCTTGTAAGTAGATACTTAGAATCACAATTTTATGGACTGTTCTTTATTAAATATAGGGGACTCAATGTTCTTATGTTTATAGAGCAGTGATGCTTTATTGTGTTCATTCTAAAAGGCCATGTTCTGTTCATCTAGTTCCTTTATATCCCATTTTAAGAACTATATGTTGATCAGGCTGTCTGTGTATGTGTGTACCTACGTGCTATTAGATAACTGGCCTAATTACACAAATAAAACTTAAGTTTTTGAAAGTAGTTATTTTTATAATTCCAGATATTAAAATTTTGATACATGAGAGTTCCTTAGTCTTAAAGTTCAAACAGGTTGTACCATTGTTTTTTTAAAAATCAGCTTTTATTTGTTCTAAAAATATAAAAAAGTCATAAATACCATCTCAACAATTTTAAAAGCATAAGTTATGCAATGATTTTTCTGGCTTCTGAACATACTTTTTTTTTGTTGAATGCATATTAAATAAGTTCATATTCTGAATAGTACCACTGGAAATGACATAAAGTCTTTTGTTTAAATTAATTTCTAAGTATTGAAAACATAAATAGGAAATATTAGAAATGAATAAATATTTTAAATACAATAAATAGGTTCCTAGAAGGAAATAAGAATATATATAAATGCAAACCATTGTTACTATTTCTGGTTCTTAAAACAGAACAACACTGTCATCTGCCACATGACAAATTGGTAACAAAGGATTGTGCCCGAATTAAAACATTCAGACACTGGAACTCCTGGTATTTTTCAAATAACGAACGGCCCTCACGGTTTTCTCCATAAACGAAGTAAAGTCTCGGAGGATGAGGTGGGTGGTGATCTTCTCTATCCAGGTCTTATTGGACTTCAGCTTTGCTCGGAGGGATTCCTGGGTAGCTGAGTCTGGGATGATCACTTCATCGGGATTGATCACCTGTGAGAAAATGAATATTGGGGTGTCCTGGTTAAAACATGGAGTTTGTTGGAGAGCATTCTTTTATGTGTAGGATGTTCCTGACCCATTGTCTGTATGGTGGACAACAGACCTCCCTGGGACCTGTGCTTCCTTACAACCCTCTGTGGTGGGTTGGAGGTATGTTGATGGAGACATCAACAATTACTGCAGAAGAATCGGAGGGTCTTGTCTGACCTATACTGTTTGTTCTGGTTTGGATGCAACATCTGGCATCGTGGTCCCAACATGCTGCACTGGACAGACTGACGCACCTCTCTTGCTATCTGCTGGCTGCATGGTTAGTTGGGAAGAGGCTGATCGTGATTTGTCCTAACCTGTGCTGGCTCCTACATCCTGAGTCATAAGTTAATTACGTTTGAGTACTCTCACATTTTGTAGTAGATGAACAGTTTCCAAACATGTCAAACTTGTTCAGCTGCTTAATTCTTACTTTCTAGGCATTTAGGCATGTGGGAGACTTAAGTGTTACCAACTTTCACTGATGTCTGAGATCCTAACTGCAAGATGAGTAAAAGGAGGTACCAGTACCCACATGCCTTTTAAGAAGTTGTTCCATGAAGTGTGTAGGTGATTTATAAAAATGGGAGTTATTGACCAAATCATGGTGATGTTTTAAATGATTTTTGGTCTAGAAGTCTAACGAAGTATCCACTTCATCCTGGTTTTAGGATCTCTTCTACCCTTTAACAACTGACAAAAGCATATGGAACAACTTTTGTTGTGAAATGTAGTAAGATAAGAATATTCTTTCTGTCCAGACTACTTCGAAGCAGAGTCTGATCACAAACCCAGTTACTGGTATATGCAACTCCTCGTTGCATGCTGTAGAAGCTTTTATCTGGATATCTGGATGGGTACTGTAATGATGGATCTACCTGATCACAAGTGACAGATTCTGTCCTTCCTCTCCTTGCCTTAAATAGTAGATAGACTTCTCTTGTCATGAGAAATTTCCAACCTGGAGATCAAGACTCCTCTCTTTCTCAAAAACTCTGTAATTTCACAAGGGCAGGTTTGGTTTTGATCACCATGTTTAATTCTGCCTGTTCCAATTGCCTTGATTCTACTGGTTTGTTATGAAATGAACTTCCTGCAAATTAATATATCAAGTTGGAAGCCAGTGGTGAGTTGCTGTCTTATCATGGGACTATTATTCTTAGCTAGCACAGTGTGAAAAAAGCAGTTCAGCTCCCTTTCACTTAAAGAATGATGGGCATAAATAAATGTTAGGAAAGGTAGGGCAAACACACAATAGGCTTTTCAGATGCAAAAAAAGCCACCTTGAAGTAAATAATGCCCTGAGATTTCTGCAGTCCTTACTCACCTCGATGGTTCTTACTCAGGCAAATAGTTTCCCGGATGACGAAGGAAGTATTCGTGTTAAGGGTTATAAATGTGAGTAAGAACTGCAGGAATGAAGTGAATTTTTGAAGTGTGATCTTTCAGAGCCCTCCAAACCAGAAAACGACTGTCAGAAATTAATAGCACTTAGTTTACCAAATCAAAAGAAAACCAGGTATTTGTAAAGAAGGTAGCTTTTTTTTTTTTAATGGTGATTACAAGCAAAATGTGTGCTTTTCAACAGGCAGTGCCTTTTATTTAGTCAATTATTAATTTATATGCTGAATCTAACCATATTCCTTGATTTTTAAGCTCCTGATGCCTCAATATACCATACACTTTAACTTAAAAGTTCTGTTTTGGAGAGTTTTAAAGATTAATGATATTGTAAAAGTGTATTTGCTTTTATTTATGTGTTTTTTTTTTTTTCCTAAAGTTAACTTATTTCTGCTTCACAGGGGACTGCAACATTAGAAGGCTTGGACAGAACTGCAGTTCCCCAATTAGGAACAAGCTCCCTGAGGAACCTTACTGTTATCAGCTTAGCAACATTAGTATATTTGTTCTTAAAACAATGATGTATTTAACTATTGGTTTGGAAATCAGAAATAACAATAGAAAGTAGGACGAAGATTTGTTTCTTTAAGAAAAGAAAGCAAAACCTTGTAAAACTGGTATCGGAGCATAAGGAACCATCACCTGTTTCTGCTGAGAGAAACGAAAGTGGGAAATGTTCAACTTTGCATAGCATCCCATGTCTCTGACTGCACCTCACAGCTCCGCCGTAACAATTGCCAGAGTGAATTTAAAACCAACTCACCATCTGCCTTATGGTGTGTGCCAGGTGCTCTGTACTGTAGCACAGCGATTCGACCTTTTGCTTTTCACTAGTGAAAGTTTCTTGTACGTATTCAAGGTATGTCTGAAACGTATAAAGCCCGCTGGAGATTTTCTTCAAGCATTTATCCTGAAATGAGAAAAAGGTGAGAAAGTCAGAGCTGAGCAATGCCTCGATCACAGATACAGAGTCTGGAGGTCTGTGCCACGCCAAAGCCGCCTGGAGCCAAAGCTTTAGGTCAGCTTCCAGGGGTTTTTGGAGCAGACAAAAGCCGCCCCAGGCATACAGGATTAAACCAGAAAGGAGAGCGGTTTCTTGCCTCGTTGAAGCCGGCGAGCAGGCACCCATCTTCCTCCGTCACTTTGGGGAGGTTGAGGTTGTTCTGGACGAGCATTTCCATGCTGTTCTCACAGACGGTAAACTTCTCGCACATCTGGGGAGAGACACCGA